GTTTTGTTTCTGGCAGCTTGAAGATCATGAGTATAAACCTTTAGATCCTAAAGATATACGTCTTCCGCCCCCAATGCCCCCCAGTGAGAGACTGCTGGCTGCGGTTGAGGCATTTTATAGTCCACCATCTCATGACAGGCCCAGAAACAGGTAAGAGTGGGCATAGCTGATGATATGGTAAGGAAAATGCCCTAAGAAGCTGTCTCAAACCGTGAGGTGCCTCTCTCTTCCCTCGCCTCACTCTTGGTCCTTCTGGTGCTGAAATGAGCGCTCTTGTGTCTCTAACTGCACACGCTGTTCAGTCTTGCCCCGAGATCTGGGAGACCTTTTAGCCCAGGCCCTCTGTTCCCTACAAACTGCAGCGGGAATCCGGAACATTGGTCAGAGGAGAATCTTACAGACGTTGGTTCTGTGTGTGGTTGATGTGTTGCAGTGAAGGCTGGGAGCAGAACGGGCTGTACGAGTTCTTCAGAGCTAAAATGAGAGCGAGGCGGAGGAAGGGTCAGGAGAAGAGAAACAGGTGAGGGATCCTGTCCACTGCCTTCTGGTGCGTGCTGTTTGTTGGGAAGGTGCTAGGAATGCCTTGGGCTCGATGCAGAGGGAAAGTCTTCAGCGACATGCTGATGGAATAACCTAGTTCTGACTCAATGAATTTATCTGATTTGCAGAATAGTTTCTGCCAGACAAATTTTCCCTGGATTGTCTGCAGAAATGCAGTGCTTGTGTGCAGTGTGAATGGATTTGTGTACACAGAAGTGGATTTGCGTGTGTCCTGCCTCTGCCAGGATTTCACTGGGGTTTCTCTGCTTTTCTCTGCAGCGGGCCTTCGCGGTCTCGCAGTCGGTCTAAAAGCCGAGGTCGCTCATCCTCCCGGTCCAACTCACGATCTTCAAAATCATCTGGCTCCTATTCGAGGTCACGATCTCGCTCTTGCTCCCGCTCCCGATCCTATTCACGCTCTCAGTCCAGGTAGAGTGGGATGGGCCGGATCTCAGGAACGGGGAGGGGGTGGAACAAGCCCCAGCCCTCAGGGCTGAATGAGGAACCATGGATGTTGCTCGTGTAACTTGTGCATCTCATCTCCTGTGCTCTCCCTTTCCAGGAGCCGGAGCAGGTCCCGCTCCTCTCACAGCCGCTCACGATCACGGTCACGATCAAGATCGAAATCTTACTCACCAGGAAGGCGGCGCCGGTCCCGGTCTCGCAGCCCCACTCCTCCGTGAGCTTTTGTTTGGTTATTTCCCTTTTTACCTGGGTGGTTTGGAAAAGTACCAACAAGGGCGCTTTCCTCATCTCAACAAATAGTAGAAAAGAAGATGGAAAGCAGATTCAGGAATGATTTTTATGGTAGATGTGCTTATGGAGAGACTTTTACTCTGTTGTGGTGGCTTTTTGTTAGAACAACACCCTCTGAAGGCCTCGCATGCCTTCCAAGGAAGCCGGAGGAGTCCTCAGAGTACTCTGTGTTAGGTAGACCGTAGTGTTTGATTCCCCTTGTGCTGAGAAGTTCTGGCACCTTCATAACTCCATAATCTCCAAAAAGCTTTATAAAAGAAGAGCTTAGCAGAGTGGATGGGATTATGTTTGACAATAAAAGTGACCTTGCTTGGTGTCAGAACAGGATCACTTGTTGTTAATTTGTTCTCTGTACTCCCTCAGCTCTTCTGCTGGTTTGGGCTCCAGTTCGGGGCCTCCCATACCAGAATCGAGACTTGGAGAAGAAAATAAAGGCCATCAAATGCTAGTGAAAATGGGTAAGATGCTGTTCTGGAATCTTGCGCAAGCCAGGAAACCAGATCAGGCACCCAGCGCTAGGAGACAATTAATTAGTGCATGTTCCTAAGTAATTATCCCTGGGTATTCTGAGGTTGGCGCGAGGATATTCAGAGATGTCTGCATAGAACGAGAAGCAGTGGTGGTAGTTGCCTTTCCGGGAAGGGTGTGGAAGTCAGGGATGCGAGTTCAGCATCAAATAGAATTTACCCCCACGAGGTGGTTCATCGCCCTGCGGTGTCGGTGGGCAGCATCGATGGGACAGACTGGGCTCGTGCTCTTTGCTCTTGCGCTCCTCAAAGCTCTTGGGGCCGGTGCTGGTGTCGCTCAGCTCCCAGAACCTGCGTGTTAATGCTTCCGCGGTGAAGGGGACAGGCTGCCCCTTCCCCTCCTGCTGTATCAAAGTGACGCTTTGGCTGTTCCCAAAATGTTGGTCTTCAGAATTCTGGTAATAAAAAAAATAGTTACGGGATTGCAGTGTTGTGTCCCTCCTGCAGGATGGAGTGGATCCGGTGGATTAGGAGCCAAGGAACAAGGAATTCAGGATCCAATTAAAGGAGGGGATATCCGAGACAAATGGGATCAGTATAAAGGAGTGGGAGTTGCGTTAGATGACCCTTACGAAAACTACCGAAGAAATAAAAGTTACTCGTTCATCGCCCGCATGAAGGCCAGAGACGAATGTAAGTGAATGTTTCTGAGCAGTTTACAAAACCCTGCAGCCCTGATAGTGATTTTGTCCCACTGACTGTAAACCCAGAGACCAGTAGTAACTCCTTTCTGACGTAGTGGGTACGATGAAACGCCAGGTGAGTAGAGATACGCTTGGATTGCTCAGCATCGTTTCCTTTCAGCTGTCTTGTGTTCTCGGCCAGAGACGAATGTAAGTGAATGTTTCTGAGCAGTTTACAAAACCCTGCAGCCCTGATAGTGATTTTGTCCCACTGACTGTAAACCCAGAGACCAGTAGTAACTCCTTTCTGACGTAGTGGGTACGATGAAACGCCAGGTGAGTAGAGATACGCTTGGATTGCTCAGCATCGTTTCCTTTCAGCTGTCTTGTGTTGTTTCTGAAACACTCATGAGTTGGCCGGTTCCTGGCCGCACTGCCAGCGTCTCTGAGCGTGCCCCTTCAGCAAACAGGAGCAATGCTAGAGGCAGTGGAGGGAGTGGCACCGCAGGAAGGCGGCTGCTGGAGCAGGAAGGTGTTTCTGGTTGGCATGAAGTCAGACCACGCTTATGCCCAACTCCGACTTTCCAGCAATCGGCACTGGCTTCTGCCAGAGCCAGGCCTGGAAATAAATTCCCTGTAGGGCAGGAAGGGCTCACAGGAAGTGGAGGTGCTTCTCGTGAGACGAAAGCCGTTGGCCAGGAGGTAGATTTTTGTTTTTGCAGAGAGTCTGTGTGAGGCAGAACTGCACTTGCCAAGGACTGAAAGGAAATGAACTTGGCATGCCAAAAGAAAAGTCACTTCTGCTCTGGCTGCAGTAGGTGTGTGTCATAAAATGGGTTCAGGTAAAGCCCGGAAGGAGAAACTCCCTGTTACCAGAGCCCTCGTTCCATAAACGTTTCCGACAGCTTAGGTGACTGCAGAATGTGTAAGAACTCTTTTCCCTATTGTTTCAGCGAAGCGTGAAACGCAAGACCCTCCACCACCCGAATAAGACTCTGAAGAAAGATGTCTTGCATCTCCTACAAAACATTACACTTGTAGCAATCCGGATTAAAGTCTGGAGGAAGTGACAAGTGACTTACTTTAAAAATACCGTGAAAAATGGAAAGCTAGGACATGTACTTCAACACTTGTCGTTTAGAGTTAGAAAGGCCAGTCGTTCCTAGGACATGTCTAGCACGTTTAAGACTTTCCATTTATCTGACAAAATTTTTTAATTAGTTACCCATTTTATACTAGGATTAATCCCCAGCCAAGCTCTCCCTGGTCCAGGCTTGTGATTCATTCATTCCTGTGGAATACAGACGTTATCTGATGTGGTTGTGTGTTCTCTAGTTCCATAATGTATGTTTATTTCTCTCAAAAGGTTAATTCTATTTGAAGTGGAGGGGTGCTGCCTTGGGATCAAGTCAGACTGATGCTGAGCAGTGTATCCTAATGTCTAAATGGGGAATGAAGCATCTAGTTCCAGTACAGGTGACCCATGAGCACTGTGCGAGCTTGTTAGAACCTACCACCCACCTTAACGCCCCTCCACACCAGCTGCTGCAGTCACCACCCCGGGCAGAAGGCGAGGGTTCACTCTTGTAGCTTTTCAAGCGCTCTAAGGGATGTTCAATGCTTTGTAACGGAAGACATTCTTTAAGCTTTTTATATTTTTGTATATACCCTTTAATAAAAGCTAATTAGTTGAATAGAAGAGAATCGATTTTCTCTGCTCTGCAAGTTTCTAATGATGAAAACGTTCTTGGAAACTTCCCTTTCATCTACGTGAGAAACCCCCCCACTTTTGTAACTGTTTCCAGCGACCACCAGCTAACGACGTTAGGCCCTTACACTGCACTTCCACTCCAGAGGTCGGCGTGGTGGGAACCTCTTCCAGTCATTTGTCTGTCTAGCGGAGACCCTCTCCAAGCGGTCAGTTAGTGTGGTGAGCGATCAGTTTGTTCTAGATCTGCTGTAGTTGTGGACCTGTAACTGTCTGTGAAGCGGCATACAACACCTGTATGTTACCCACTTGTGAATTTTATTGGTTTGCCTTCCAATAAACACTTTTTTTTAAAATAAAATTAAAATAGTGGCTCATATTTCAGAGTAAATGGATTCCAAGACGTTGGCTGTAGGCCTTCTGGGTATTGAATTTACCTTGATTTTACATCTGACAGAGCTAATTATGAACGCTTGAATGTGGCACTAAGGTCAGGATGGTATTTTTCTGCTGTGGTCATACTCCTCGGGTGCTGTAGAACAGCCTTTCACTTCGCCCCCGATCACGGACACGATCCTGCCGTGACTTACGGCGCCCCCAAGAAGTGTTTTCTTGGGTTCTTCTCCGCTGAGCACTGCTGTGGCCTCACCGCAGGCTCCAGCCAAGCCTTGCGTCACGTACGTTCGTAAAAAATTCGGGTACAGGAAAACAAGCTTTGTAGAAGATGCAGAGCAGTTAGTACAAAACCTTCCCGGTCGTAGTTTGTAACTTCTCTTGTGATTCGAAGGGTTTCTTGTTCCAGCTGGAGGGCTGTAAAAATGTTGATTTTACTGAAAATTCCAAGAGTCAAAGCAGTTTTTCCTCCTGTGCTTTCTCAACGTCTTCACGTGCTTGCTCAATTGTTAGAGGCGGGGATTTGTGATTCCTGATGTACTGCAAAAGATGTTCATACACAAATCCGCTATGTAGATAAATACTTTCTAGCCTTTAATAAATAACAAATCTTCATGTCAAGGTATCTGCGCTGTTCTGCACCAGTAACAGAAGCCAGTCCTTCTGTTGCAGCATTGGGAAGGTCCCTGCTCGTTAGGGGACAGCTAAATGGCACAGCAGAAACCTGCTGCTTTCAAAACCATGGCTTTGGTTTCAAATGAAAAGACAGACTTTAGTCTTTTTTATTGTATGAACTCCTGACCTGGTAATACAGGCACAAGCATTACAGGAGTCTTCGTCTACAAAGTAATTTATGCAGCAGTATGGACTCTGTCTCACTGATGACTGCTACGCAAAGAAAGGCCGTTTGCTGCGAGTGCTAGAAGCGCTTGGAAAGGAACAGACACTACTTCTGTCTCGGCTGCTGTCTAGCCTGTCATAAATACCTCTTTAGCCTCTTCCAAGGTATGGTAGTGGAACCTCTCGCTCTCTAGTGACTCCACAAGGGAGACGTGAAGGTGGTGAATGTTCTCCACAAACTGCTGAGTCAACATCAAGTGCTGTTTCAACAGGGCGTTTAGGACAAGAACTGAGGGGCTGTATGCTGTCAGTGCTGCAAGAGACGGAGAGCACAGACCTTAGCGACACGTTAGAGAGGGAGGGCAGAACAGTCCCCCCCAGGGATAGATGCATGAAACACACAAAGTCAGAACAGAAGAGTATTTTTGGTACCTTCTACTGCATCCCTGCCGATGACGTGACTGGCAATAGGCGCTGGGTCGATGCAGCAGTTCCCTACGGGGGGGTCAAGCACCGCAGAGGCATTTGCTGTGTACAGGATAAGGTTAGAATTACAGGGCTTGGGGGGTTGGAAAGGTTTAGTGCTAGAACTCAGTTCATTTTCAGCAGTTTCTTGGGACAGCAGTGGCCTAACAGGGACTTCTGTCAGCCAAATGAATGCTGAAGTAGTTCCACGACCTGCAGTTTCACTCCCATGTTCACAACGCGCGCTATTGCAGAAGGCATCTTTTCTAACCCTAGACAGAGTAAACGGAAAGGCTTTGGTGTTTGAAGGAAGCTGGTGTTTTCAAGCACACCCAAGTAGCTGTTTTCTCCTTGAGCGTGGCAAGAAGTGGCTCTTGCTGTGTTTTCGTTGAATTAAAGAGAGGTAGGAAAGGAGCAGCAGCAGTTAAGATCGCGTCTGCTTGTAAACGGGGCTGTATTGCTTTCCCAAGAAATAAATACAGCGCGAAAGAGAAGCCTACGATGGGTAGTCACTTCAGGAACAGCACAAGGGTATTGTCTACAGGAGTAAAGACACAACAGAAGTGTTGAATTCCTCCGAGACTATTACTCAGGCTGTTGCAAGCTGTCACTCGTGCTAGTTCATCCAGCCAGAGTTCCTGCTGGGTTTTATTTTTTAGCAAAACCCAGTTCCAAACTCTTAGTCTGCTGTCCACTCCTAATCTGTTCTACAGAGAGCAGATTTGGGCTTTAGAAAGATGTTTGATGTCAGCGAGGGGAAGCGAGTACTGAGACAAGGAGCCCTCTCAGTGCTGACTAGGCCAGTAAGAGTTGGCTGAACAGGGCAGCGTCTCGTGAACTCACCCATTGACCAGCAGTAGGTGCATGGAGAATCCACTGTCTGAACCGCAGTTTCTTTGAGGGTTACTCTCTGCACGTGGCCGTGCCTCTCTCTGGTACGCAGCGGTGGTGCTGCCGCAGACGGCTGTCGGCCAGGACGCGTGCAGCTCTCAGAATGTTCCTCTGATGTCTTCCATCCAGATTCCCTGTCTGTTGTAGACGGAGACTTTTCAAAGTCTTCAGAATATTCTGAGTTAACAGTTCTGTCATCAAGGTAATCCTGTTTGTCTCCAGAAAAACCTGAAGAAGCTCCAACTAAATGCTCAGAGATTTCATCTTCAGTCACAGTTTTTTCAATATCCCCCTCAGAAGCCTCATTCACGCCAGTTACTGCAGTTGTCATTTTCCGAGCAGTTTGGTCTTTTTCTGCCAGGAATATATCTTTTGTTGGATTTCTGTTTGATTCTGCAGTAATTTGGATGTCTGTCCCCTGTAAGACAGAACAGCTCTACATGAGGAGAATCAACACACGTAACCTAGAACATGCCTCCATTATTGTCATCTGTGCTGCTGCAAATCAGAGTTTCCTACTACTTTATTAGGATACTAAACGTTGCTCTTGTGTGTCACCTTGCAAACTGTCCAGAGCTGTTATATTTAGTAAGGAAATGCAGACACTAAAACCAGAATTTGGTCATGTTTAGAGAGACTCAAATCCTGATCTAGCCCTTAGAGCCCTGAGACACGCCCACCTCAGCCCACGAGGAGAGCAGTACTACTCATTGTAGAATATCCACCCTCCACCAAAGACAGAACGGAAATAAGTGCTAGTAAGGAATTTCTACTTACTTTCTGCTTTAATTCTGTCGCCTCACTGGTGATATTTGGTGCCAAATCGTCAAGGCTGAGGATATTCAGCCTGAAATCTGCAATCAAAGGGCATATTGTGGTGAGAATTTGCCTGAAAATTACAGCACACTTAAGCAAGAAAAGGGGAGAAATAAATCAGTAGCACAGTCCTGGTTTAAAGGGTAATACTAAAAATTAATAGCAGTCAATCCCTAACCCTTCAACTTTGCAGATCTTTCTAAAGTTTCCTCCTTTGCCTGTCGGTGGATCTGCTAAGCCAGGTTCAAGAGACTCTTGCTGCCCCTCATTTACACTTTCCTCACACAAACCCCTTAGTACATTGCCCCGCTGACACAGGACAACTATTCTAAATGTTGTAATGGTTTTCACATCATAATTAAGTGTCCCCCAGGGAAGCATCATTAAACTGAACCCGTTAAATCAAAAGCCAAGAAAAATACAGATATATTACACGAGAAATAAGAAACTGATCAAGGTAATTGCTTTGAGAGAGCCTTGGTTTACGTAAAATTACACCAGTGAACCCTTTCAAAGTGAGTTTGCCCATGTTTATTAGTAAACTCACCAGCAGATTATTAGTACAATTCATACCAAGTCTGAGACTGTATTTTAGAACGCTCACCGTCCGAGCTGCTGCTAGCTGGATCTTCTGCATCAGCTGCTTTTGTAAACAATTCATCTAACGATTTGATTTCACTTCTGTCACTTTCAAGTGATATTTGGCTTTGCTTGGCCTTGCCTCTGCTAGGCAGAGCAATCTTTACAGTATTGTCTTTCATGGAAGAAGAGAGCGACTGAGATCCCACGTTACGTTGTACTGACAGGTTTCTGCTGGCCGGTGAAGTTGGTGGTGAATTAACTCTGCCAACACCATTTTTCTCTGAGTCTCTGCTGCGAAAACAAGATGCTTTTGGTACCTCTGTCAGTGAACTTTCCTTCTGAGCTGGAGGAGGCATTCCCAATGAAACTGGAGTCTTACTCTTTTGAAGAACATGAAAAAGAGATTTATGTGTTATTTCATCTATTATATGTAGATCACTAAAAAGGAAGAGAAATTATAATGGGTAAACCCCAGTAATTTTAAAAAGTGAAGTTAAATCATATTATGAGCAAGCCATAAAAGCAAAATTAACATGAAAAAGAGATTTATGTGTTACTTCATTTATTATATGTAGATCACTAAAAAGGAAGAGAAATTATAATGGGTAAACCCCAGTAATTTTAAAAAGTGAAGTTAAATCATATTATGAGCAAGCCATAAAAGCAAAATTAAAATTTACTTTCTGGTGTTATCTAAGTAAAAAGTGACCTACCAACTTAACAGTTTCATAAAGGTGTATATAAAAATAAATAATCCAGTGAAGTCTGTACTTACCTTTCTACCCCATTTAGACTCACTTACAACAACCCTCCGATTCTCATTTTCACTGGCAAACTCCAAAGAGCTCTCCACCAATTCTCTCATTTCCTCTTCCTCACTATCCAAACCACGCTGTTGTTTAACCCTAACATTCTTTTTAGGGCTGTGGATGCTTTCCTCTTCCTCAGATCGGGCATTACTGGGGGCCGTGTTTCCACTGGCAGCAGCGTAATTCTTCAGGTATTTCTTGCCCCTTGCACCGTGTTCGTGACTGGAAGCCGATGAGAAGGACTCTTCATCCAAAGGCTTCTGGCCCAAGCCAGTGTTTTGCAGCTCCATCTGCTTTTTTCGATTCATGATTTTGCTTTCTAGTTGTGCCACTTTCCTCAGAGCTGAGCTCAACCGCGTGTGGGAAGTGCTACCCGGGGTGCTCTTTGCTACGTGTCTGCTGGCTGCCTGCGGAGCACTCGCTGAGGTCTGGCACTGCTGGCTTCCCTGTACGCCTTCATTGCGCGCTTTTAGGAATCTGCTCTTAGGAGCTCTTCCAGTTTCCATCTCCGTGCCAACCTCAGAGGCACAAGGAAAGACGCTGCGCCCGGCTGCGGTGGTTCTAAGGGCAGCATCGCTGCGTCCCTGCCGAGAAGAGGATGCAAAGAGCCCTCAGGGGCGGACGCAGGCGGCCCGGGTCGGCTCTCCCCCC